AAAACCCTCCCAGCCAGGAACGTCCTTCATGATTTTGGCCTCCTCATCCAGGTTCTGCCGCAGCAGGCGCAGGGTTCTGCGAGAGAGGGGGAAGGCTGAGCCCCGGGCCCCGGGCCGCCCGGTGGGGCCGCCCCCCCGCCACACCGAGCCCCCGGTACCTGCGATCCGACTCGGCCTGGAGCAGCGGCATCAGGGCGATTCGCGCTTCCAGGTCCTCGATGAGCAACCGCCTGTGTTGGGATGGGGTCAGAGCTCAGCGGGGCATCGGGAGGGGAACCGGGAGGGGAACCGGGAACCGGGAGGGGAACCGGGATGGCGATGGGGGAGGGGGATGAGGCACCTGCGCTCCCGGTTCCACTTGATGAGGGTGTAGTAGCCCAGCAGGAGGCTGCCGATGCCGAGCGCGAAGAGGCTGTAACCTGCGGCGGGAGGGGAGCGGGTGAGCGGGGGGCCCCGGAGGGACCGGGACACCGGGGAGCGAGGCCGGGACGGGCCTGCACCCACTGGCAAGCGTGCACCAAGAGTGCAACCACGGTTAAGTGTGCACCAGCAAGCATGCTCCTACCAGCAAGAGTGCAGCCACAGGCAAGCCCGCACTGGTAAGTGTGCATTAAAACGCGTGCACCACCAGCAAGCGTGCACCCACCAGCAAACGTTCACCAAAAAGCGTGCACCCACTTGTGAACGTGCACCAAAAAACCGTGCACCTGCTGGCAAGCGTGCACCAAGAGCGCAGCCACGGGCAACCACGCACTGTAAGTGTGCACCAAAAAGCATGCACCCACTTGCAAACATGCACCAAAAAGCGTGCACCCACTGGCAAGCGTGCACCAAGAGTGCAACCGCGGTTAAGTGTGCACCAGCAAGCATGCTCCTACCAGCAAGCGTGCAGCAAGAGTGCAGCCACAAGCAAGCACGCATTGGTAAGTGTGCGCTAAAAAGCGTGCAGCCACCAGCAAACATGCACCAGAAAGTGTGCACCCACTGGCAAGCGTGCAACAAGTGCAGCCACGGGCAAGCGCGCACTGGTAAGCGTGCATTAAAAAGTGTGCACCCACCAGCAAGCGTGCACCAAAAAACGTGCAAGCGTGCGCTGGCAGGCGCGCAGCAAAAAGCGTGCTCACGCTGGAGCGCGCACCCCCCGGTGAACAGGCTGCGAGCAGCACGCTCCCCCCGGCCCCTCGCCCC